TAGATGACTATTCTAGGCGTTGTTGGGTGTACACCATGACGAAGAAGAGTGAAGTCCAAGATTTGTTTGTGGAGTGGAAGAAGAGATTGGAACTGCAGACTGGGAGAAAGATCAAGACGTTGCGATCCGACAACGGTGGTGAGTATACTTCTGACCCCTTTCAGCAGCTATGTCGAGACGAGGGCATAGAGAGACACTTCACAGTTAGTCATACACCGCAGCAAAATGGGGTGGCAGAGAGGTTGAATCGGTCTTTACTGGAGAAGATCCGATGCTTATTGTCGCAGAGTGGTTTGGAGAAGATCTTTTGGGCTGAGGCACTTACATATGCGAGCCATCTCATTAATAGGCTGCCTTCATCTGCGATTGAGGGGAAGACCCCTATGGAGATATGGTCGGGAAAGCCAGCACATGACTATGACCAGCTCAAGGTATTCGGGTGCCCTGCGTATTATCATGTTAGAACTGATAAATTGGAACCTCGAGCTAGGAAGGCCATATTTGTAGGATTCAAGCGTGGTGTCAAGGGATACAAGCTTTGGGATCCAGTTGATAAGAAGATTGTGCTGAGTAGGGACGTCACGTTTGATGAAGCTTCTATCTTGAAGCTTCCCAGCTCTCATCAGGTGGAGAGCGACCCGACGGAGGAGATATCGCAGGTGGTGGAGATCGATGCAGCTCCACATTGTCCAGATGGTACAGTATCCATGCAGGTGCCGACTGAGGTGACGCCAGGCGAGCACGACGATGACACGGAGGATACGAGTACAAATGTGCAGGATCAGGAACCGACGGCTCAGGTTCAGGATTCTATTGCGGCTAGGAGACAGAGGAGAAACATACAGATGCCAGCACGGTATGCCGACACAGTTGCGTATGCACTTCCGGTGGAGAGTAAGCTATGCAGGAGGAGATGGAGTCTCTTCATAAGAACGATACATGGGAGCTTGTTGAGCTTCCAAAGGGGCGGAAGGCAATTGGTTGCAAGTTGGTATACACGAAGAAGGAGGGCATTGAGGGCACTCCATTGAGGTTCAAAGCTAGGTTGGTTGCGAAGGGCTATGCACAGGAGGAAGGAATAGATTATAATGAGGTTTTCTCTCCGGTGGTGAAGCACTCTTCGATTCGGATTTTGCTAGCTTTGGTGGCACAGTATGGTTTGGAATTAGATCAGTTGGATGTGAAAACGGCATTTCTTCATGGTGATCTTGATGAAGAAATATATATGACTCAGCCATTGGGATTCCGAGCTGCAGGGAAAGATAAGTTGGTTTGCAGCTATACGGTTTGAAGCAGTCTCCTCGATAGTGGTATAGGCGATTCGATGGTTTTATGATTGGTCATTCGTACACTCGGAGTCAGTTTGATCCTTGCGTATATTTTCGCAAGTTGAAAGGAGGTGCGTACATCTATTTGTTACTTTATGTCGATGACATGTTGGTTCCCTCTACTTCCAGGTCAGCTATAGATGAGTTGAAAGTTCAGCTTTCAAATGAGTTTGAGATGAAGGACTTGGGTGAGGCCAAACACATTTTGGGAATGGAGATCGGTAGAGATAAGAAGAATGGCAGAATTTGTTTGACATAGGTGGCTTATTTGAAGAAGGTTCTACAGCGATTCCATGTTAGCATGGATACGAAGCCAGTTGGTGTACCTTTGGGAGCCCATTTGAAGCTTTCAGCTGGTCTTTCACCAAAGTCAGTTGAAGATCGAGAGTTGATGTCGAAGACTCCATATGCGAGCGCGGTTGGGAGCTTGATGTATGCAATGGTATGTACGAGGCCAGATTTGTTACAGGCGATGAGCATGGTTTCGAGATACATGCACGATCCAGGAGTGGGTCATTGGGACGCCGTGAAATGGATTTTGAGGTACATTCGAGGTACGCTCAATGTTGGTTTGGCTTATGAGCGGGACACTAAAGGTGGGCAGCTATGCATTGGTTATGTTGATTCGGATTATGCTGGGGATTTGGATAAGCGCCGGTCTACGACGGGATATGTGTTTATCTATTTGGCGAAGAATCAGTTTTTTCATGCGAGGACGAAGCACATTGACGTTCGTTATCACTTCGTTCGGGATGTTCTTGAAGATGGTGATGTGGAAATTGTGAAAGTCCACACAAAGGATAATCCGGCAGATATGCTCACTAAGGTGGTTCCGAGCAACAAGTTTGATCATTGTCGAAACTTGTTGCACATTCGTGATTGTTGAGGCCGTTGGCGGCCATTTGGGTGAACTACGTTCGGCTTGATTCCTTGGGCAAGAGGATACGTAGGCAGTCTTTCAGATGCAGCCGGTTTGGATTTTGATGGGGGTGAGATTGTTTGGACTCTCGTTCGGGTTCTCGACTTGTTGTGGATTGAGTTCGTACTGGACACAACAAGTGGGACTTTTGGATGCATTTGGTGTCGGTTCAGTTTTGGAAAAACTTCACCGAGGTGGAGAATTGTGAACCGGACCTGATAAGGCCCAGGCCCACGAATAACATGCAGGGGAATTGTTTGTTCGGATTTTGAGTCGGTTTCAAACTCTCACGCGTTTTCTCTCTGTTACCTATATAAACAATTGTTTATTAGGTTTTCTTTTGTGCAAAAGGAAGCGCGAGGTGGGTTTGTTCACGCGGCTGCAGGAGATTTTTTTTTTTTTTTGAGGCCGGCTGTGTTTAAGTACGAAAGTGTAGTAGGTCTTTTGTGCGGCTGCAGAAAGAAATAGTGCAGTACTTTTGTGCTTTTGTGAGAGATATTTTGTGAGGGATTTGAGAGTTTTGTGTGAGGGTTTAGATTGAGAGTGCTATTAGTAGATCTCCCCCCTCCTTGCCCCGTGGACGTAGGCAATTTGCCGAACCACGTTAATATTGGTTGTACTGCTTTTGTGTGATTTGTAATAGCTTTTAGGGTCCCTCGACGCGCAGTCCTAGAGCTGACGAGAGGAAGAGCTAATATCCTACTTTGATAGGATATAGGCTTCAGATTCTTGTTCCCTTTGAGAAACAAGAATTCTTATTGCGACCTGACTCTCTTGTTGTGCTGTCGAAGTGCTGCCGAAATTTCCGCTGCGCGCAACACATTCCGTATCACAATTGTCAATTTGTTACCGAGTAGACAATCCCTTTCCTCTAAAGATTGTATCTTGGTGACGTCACACCTACGAGCTTGTTTTAACATACTATTTGGCTCTGTTTGGCAAAACTAGCTGAAAGCTGCGAGATTATAACTGAAAGCTGTTAAGCTAGCTGAAAGCTGTGAAATTGTAGCTGAAAGCTGATAGTTGTGTAGCTAGTTGATTGAAGTAGAGCTGTTTGACAAAAGCAGCTGTACAACTAGCTTAAATTTGTTAAATGACTAAAAAGGACATGCAATATTATTTCTATAATTATTAACTTTCCGATTAGTTCTTGCCTCAAAGTCTTTGGCAATGTCTCGCCATTTGAATAGTTGATTGCGGCCATTCTTAGCAACGAATGCCAAACACAGCTCCAACAATACAATCATAAAATCGTTTGTCCAGTTAAATGTATTTCCCTCCACATCATCAGTACCTTTGTTTTTTTGATTGTCCACATCATCATTACTTGATTCCATCTATAATATAGAAAAAAAAACACATTATAATACTACTTCAAGGTTTTTAAGAATTAAAAGAAAATGTCGACAATTTGTTCTATTTCATTTGAAACAAACAAAAAAAAAATAGAACTGAAGCAACGTTTCTAATCATAATTCTTAAATAATGGGATGGACAGAACCGAGAACAGAGAAATGGGATGGACAGAACCGAGATCAGAGAAGCCCTAAACCCAGCATAGAATTCCCATTAAACAAACAGCCTAGAATTCCCATTAAACAATCTTCTCAAAATTGGCAAAACAAACCAGAACCATAATGGCTACCAAATCGAAACAGAAGAGAAAAAAAAATAAAATAGTTAAAATAAAAGACAAAATTTTGCAAAATTAGAACCATAAACAGAATCCGAAAAAATTAAAAAAAGAAAAAAGATTTTGGATACTTACCTTGATATGATGGGTTGGACAAACAAAGGGAGTCCAATGGGAGGGTCGAAACTACCTTGACGATGGCCTTCAATGGAGATGGAGGAGAAACATGCTCAGGTGAAGCAGAAGGGGTGTTAGGCGTGAAATAAAAAAGAGCTAGGGTTTTTTGGATGTGGTAGTAGCTTTCATTTGCCCTAATTATTAGGGGCAAAACAGAAGAAAAAAAATGACAGATCCTTCCTAAAGACAAATGCTACTTAAGGTAGCTTTCCAAAAGCTACTTGCAAAAGACACAATCTCCAAAATAATTTACTCCTACTTTGTCACCAAACAGCTCTACTAGCTTATTGACCAAGTCAATAAAATACAATATCTTAGATAAGACACAATCTCTTGTTGCCAAACAGTATCTTTATCTCCATTTTCTTTTTATTATTATTAGAAAGCCTCTACTTCTAGTGTAAGACTTAGGCTCTGTTTGGCAAAACTAGCTGAAAGCTGCGAGATTATAGCTGAAAGCTGTTAAGCTAGCTAAAAGCTGTGAAATTGTAGCTGAAAGCTGTTAGCTGTGTAGCTAGCTGATTGACTAGAGCTGTTTGGCAAAAGTAGCTGTGCAACTAGCTTAAATTTGTTAAATGACTAAAAAAGACATGCAATATTATTGATATAAAATTAGAATTATTAGGGGCAAAAACGAAAGAAAAAAATTGGCAGCTCCTTCCCAAAGACAAACGCTACTTAAGGTAGCTTTCCAAAAGCTACTTGCAAAAGACACAATCTCTAAAATAATTTCCTCCTATTTTTGGTCACCAAACAGCTCTACTAGCTTATTGACCAAGTCAATAAGACACAAGCTCTTAGGTAAGACACTTTTTTTGGTTGCCAAACAGTGCCTTAATAATTTTCAAGGATCGTTTGGAGATCTCGGCATCTTAGCAAACGTTCTGGTAAGTTTTATATTCTGTAATGGAGTTGAAGACATACTGCAAATATGATAACAAACTTCTAAAAATAATGACATCCAGAGTCAATAGATTACTACCATAAAACAACCGAACCCAACATAGCGCGATAACTAATACTGTTTTCAAATCAAAGTAAAACATACTACCCAAAATCCAATACGACCAAAATAAACTTCAATCGTTCACCGCCGCAAAAAAACAAACTAACAAAAGATGGAAATTCCTCAGTAAACAATGCTAAAACGCTCTTCTACATGAAGAGATTCGGCCTGGTGGCCTTGAAGGTGGTCTTCAGCTTCCTGGTTGGCGGCCTGACTTTCTTGTAGACGAGGGGGAACTTGATCTTTGAGTCATGGAACTGCTTGGTGCTCTCCCGTTTGCAGAGCTTGGCAGGGATGGTGGCGGTTTTGATGATCTGGATGCAAGGGAACCTGACTCTGTGACGAGAGGCCATCTCAGTGTACATTTGTTCAACAGCGCCGTTCAGTGTAGTGTCACGGTACTCTTTGTACATGTTGTGGTAGCCTGTCCTGCTTTGGTATCGGAGCCAGATTCCGTAGTTGTGGATCTTGGTAGGATTCTTCTCGAATATCTGCAGGCATAAAGATTCAGTCTCAAAGACGGAAAATGAAGACTAATATGATATCCTAATTGATTACTTTGATAAGGCTAAAAATGTATATTTATAGCTATGAACCTGAATATGGACCACAAACAGAAACTAAACAAAGGAAGAACAAAAAAACACACAAAGCAAACAAAAAAAAGAGGGTCACTTCAGCAGGTAGATGGCTTGAATTGGGCATAAATTGCTAGAACTGGAACAATTTTCAGGCACAAAAAAGCAAGATTGTGCTACGACATAGTATCTACATAAGCTATTAGGATACGAGTAGCATTTAAGCATATGCTCCGTAGATTGTCAAAAAGATTAATATTGTATGGAGCACTGCAACAAGCAAGATGCTAGTAAACTACTATTTACGGAAGTGACTCTAGAGGAATCAGCTGCAACAAACCAACTTCACCAGATAGAACCAATATTAAACCGCAAATGACTACTATAATTCAAAAGAACAAAAGGAACTCAACTAGCAGATATTTAGCTACTCCTATGAAACTTAGGCAAGATCTGATCAAAGAATCAAACAAGGGTTGCAAGATTATAATCAGTTTGATCTAGACAATACTTACGCATGGATTCAAGATATAGTTAAACCTTCATCCCCACTTATTAAATGTCTGAATCCAAAATACTAAAACTTGAATTATTTCCTCATCATGAGCTTAAAACATCTATAAATGTAACAAGCTAATCTTCAACTTTTTAATGTTAGGAACTCCAACTTATCCATTGGACTCCTTCTAGAAACCATAAGCTCAGACTTGTCTACTTCAAAAAATCAAGAAAGCTTCTGTACTCAGTTTTTTTTAAATAGAAACTTAAGTAGTATTGTATGTAATTCCGTTCATTATATTCCAAAAACCAAATGATAAAGGAATATACACATAAAGAATTACAACAGATCAATATTGCTTCAAGGGAACGAGTCCATTGGGAACTGATATTATCCACAATGACCAGATTATGAAGCCATGTCTGTACCAGATGTTATTGCCTACAATTTGCAACTTCCTAAAGCACCAACTAGGAGAAGTGAAAAGGATGTGCGTATGGAGTTAGACGTAGACCTAAGAGAAATTGGTACTTGGTAAGAAAGCAATTAAAGATACCATGACAGTTGTTAACTTAAAGAGGGACACAGCTCACAACATAAAGAAATAAAAGAATAAGATTCATCTAGCAGACTCAAAAGTAAAAATAAAAAGGATAAAAGCTATGCTGTTGTTTTAATACAATATACAGCACACAAATTCCACTGATCCACCACTTCAGATATTTTTGATCTTATATTAAGACTACTTGTTATTAACACAAATCAAAACATGTACCTAAGCCTGCAATATTACATGATCAGATATTCGAGCGAAACACTTCATATGCAAAATCAACAGAGTACACTATGTTGTTTACATCTTCCAGACACACGCACTGTATAAAAAGTCAAAGGTGAAGGAACAAAACTACCAACAAAAGTTAGAATGGTGTAATAATAAAGAGCCAAATTATAGAAAAATAAAATTAACCGCAAACTAACAGCACAACATGTACTCTCGTATACAACATTGTTATGTGCTTAAAAATCTTTCGCAATACGTACACCATCACGCAAATCTTGATAAATCACAAAAAGGGGTACTACAACGATAAAAATACATCCTTTTGAGCTAAAACTTAATACTAAACACCAATACATTTCAAAATAATGATAATTTGGTACTAATAGGATTCCATTTCGATATAAATGTCCATATTCTACGCAAACTGAGGTCTTTTTCACTCTCATAAATGGAAATAACAAATGAAAGACCAAACTACACTGGGATCAAAGCAAGGGAAATGCACATTAGAACAAAACCCGTCTTAACTCAAACAAGTTAAACCCGATCGAACATCAATGAATCTAAAACACAGATCAGTCAACTCAAATCCAGGGATTAAGGGTACAGATTTTAACAAAAAAGAAAGAAAAAACACGAACCTCGTTGATGGCAAGAACCTGGCCATTGCTCTTCTTCACCTTCTTCAGCTTCCTCAGAAAATACCTAAAAAAAATAAATAGAAAACCACACAAAATATAAAGAACAAACCCCAAACGATGAAACATTTGCAGGAGGAGGACTGAAGAAGAAAATAATACCAAAACTTGGACTTGGCCCGAACTTCGTTGGTGGCCCAAAGCTTCATGCGGAAGATCTTGGGATGCTCATCGGAGGGCGTCGGAAGCGCCCTGCCCACCACCTGGTACTGATGGAACTGCCCAAAAACAACCAGATCAAATCATCATTTTGCAAATCTACCCCAAAATAAAGAAGAAGAAGAAAAGCTAGCGAATTTCTTCAATCATTTTACCCTAAAACCGCCCATCGATCGCTGTCTCCTCCTCCAGCAAGCTTCCGATGAGAGGAGAGGGTGAATGAAGGCGGCAGGCAATGGCAACCCTAGCGGAGTAAATAAACCCTGAAATTTGTTTGGGGTTTGTCTATTATACCCCTCGGCTTGGGATGGAATCACGATTTTGTTTTTGGGCTGAATAATTTCATTTTGGGCCTGTACTTGGAAATCCAGTATTCTATGGGCTTGTGGTAAACTTTACGATAACAATATGGACTGTGGACTTTCCATTTGGGGTGAAGTTATGAAATGTGGTTCTTGCAGTCCCACAACGTTTTTCTTAAATAGTTAGATGTTAAATGGATTTGGATCCTCTCCACTACAAAAAAAGTATTGGAGAGACAACTGCTTTTAATCCCAATCGTTGATTATTTAATAGACGGTTATGATACAATCTAAATCTAACACTTACCATACCCTCGTGTATTGCACTCATTCCTAATTTGCACTCAAAGAAAAAATCACAACCATTAACTAGATAATCAATGACCGTGATTATGTAGTGGTCCCTCCACTGTTTTTTTTTTGTAGTGGAGAGGATCCGAATCCATGTTAAATACGATTTCTATATAATTTTTTAATAAGGATTTCGATAACTGGATTATTATTGTATATAGATTTTCTATCTTTTCCTCTAGATAATTTTAGAGATGTCTTGAGATTGCTTTATTTCTTTTTGTTATTGCTTAAAATAAATTTGATGGTATAACTTATAGTTTATTATTAATTAATACGTACATACTATGCTAATAAAACAGCAACCTCTGGTTGCATTTTTCCACTTGTCAAATCTTAAAGTTTTTACCTATTTAATTTCTCTACTAAAAACCTCGTGACTATTTAGTTTTAGTTTCCTTTAACTATTAATTCCTATTTTTCTCATCATCGCTCTTCCTTCTATTTCATTAAAAAATTTCCCACTTGTAAAAAGGCTTTAGAGGTGAACATATTCCTTCTTCTACTTGCTCATCCTCTTCATAATTTAACTTCTAGGTCGAATTTCCTTTTTTTACAGTTTTATCTTTGGTAAGGGTTGGGTTCTTAAGGTATTTTTTTTCTATTTTATTACATCTAAAATAAATCAATTTGAACCTCATCAGTACAATATCTGGTGCATTGCATGGGTGAAAACTAGTCTGCTATTCAGAAATACTATAATTTATAGTTTGCGATTACTAGGAAACCAGCTACAATATACACATTTTCTTAAAAAAGAAAGTTTACGTAAATGGAAGCATGTTGTTTGAGTGATAGGTAAATGTGTTGAAATAATTTAAGTATTCATGAAAAAAATTTGTTAGAAACCCTTTATTTTAGAATCTTCTTCAGCTACTTACATATATCAAAATTTATTATGCATTATCATATTTGATATTTTTTATTAATGTACAGTGTGATAGATGTATTTTGTTCTCCCTCAATTAAAGAGGCTAAATAACAGTTAGATAACTTTGTTTCGCTGGCTTTAGACTTATATGCTGTCAATTGTTTTAATATATAGAAAAAAGTTGCAGCTAATAGGTGGGAGTAAAAGCTACTATATCCAGAAAAGAAAATAAAAAATAAAAGAAAAAAATTTCAATTCTTCAAAAAAATTCTAAAGAATAAAACATCTACATCAATGTTTCCTTATACGATGTGATAAAATTGTGTATATTTTGCAACAATTGCTCCTCAACCAACACTTTACTGAAAATGCATTTCGTACAATAAATTTTATTATACCATGCAAGGAAACTATTAACAAGTATCTATTGGTAAGGAGGGGCGGAAATAAACCAAATAATTAATAAATAGTTGATTATTATTCGTCTAGATATTCTATCATATTTGATGGTGCACCTCATTTACTAGTGAACGAATAGTTTTTAGTATTCAGTTCATGATTAAATAGAATTTGATGAAAGGTATAATCGCTCCAGTTGATCGTCAATTATTCGCTGGTATTTTAAATTTTAGATTGATAAATAAACTTTGTTGCAGATACCACTAAGTGCTAATTAATTTCTTTTACACATTCACTCTCTGTAAATAAAGTTAATAGGGTAATGCTTAGGGGCTGTTTGGTTATTGTTGGTAATGTTGTGTATTTATGACACAACTTGGAAAGTTGTTGTCCACCTCGTCACTTTACATTTAATGATTTACATTGTTTGGTTAGGAATCATTGTGATTCATAAAATGATACTACTTCCTTGTTTGGATTGCATTATGTAAACTTGAAAGTGATAGATGTGTGGGCCCCATTTGTAGAGAAACCCCCTCAAAGTTCAACTAAATTAACATTGATTAATGTGCTTATGATGCTATTGTCAGCTTTCGGATGAAATCACCCCAATTTAGAGGGATTTCACTTTCCGTGCCACCTAAGCATAAAGAAAGCAGATTTACCATATATTCGTATGCAACTAAACTATTGAAAGTTGATAAAGCTGCTAAAAACCCTTAATTCTGACAACATTTTCAGCTTTCATTGTACAAATCAAGCAACCAGACGACCCCTTAATGTAGACCACTTAATAGTTTGGGTCAATGTACATAATTCGTCATCGTCGTCGCTGGATCCCAAACATAAAAATCCCAAAAGAACAATTTTTCAAAATAAACCCATTTAAAAATTTGAACAATTTTTCAAAACAGCCTCATTCAGATTTTTATTTTTCAAAATCGACTGTTTTTTCTTTTATTTATCAAAACCGACCCGATTTTGTGATTAGCAGGTTAATTACTATCCTAAATAGTCGGGGTTGCCAACCCCGACTATTTAGGAGGGTGTTAAACCCTAATTAAGGCCTTTAATTAGGGTTTAACACCCTCCTAAATAGTCGGGGTTGGCAACCCCGACTATTTAGGATAGTGATTAACCTGCTAATCACAAAATCCGGTCGGTTTTGATAAATAAAAAATAAAATAGTCGATTTTGAAAAATAAAAATCTGAATGAGGCTGTTTTGAAAAATTATTCTAAAAATTTTATTGGAAAAACAGACCCACCCTCATTTTATTTACACAAATCGATCCATTTCGTGACCACGTCAGCAGCGTGGCCACGGAATGAGTCGGTTTTTTTAATTTCGTCTCTAAATAGTCGGGGTTGCCAACCCCGACTATTTTGGAGGTCCCGTCTAAAATACACGCTAAATTAGTCGGGGTTGGAAACCCCGACTTGGTCGGGGTTGGGAACCCCGACCAATTCGAAAGCCCGCTATCGAAATGGTCGGGTTTTCCAACCCCGACCATTTAGCAGAGACTTTTGCAGCAAAAGTTGGCTGTGCAAAATAAAGTGTAGAATAAAAGTAGAATAAAAGTGTCAGTGCTATGACGTATGCAAGAATAAAAGTACAGATTTCGTATATAATAATTGACTTATAAATAAAGTGGAATAAAATTAAAATAACGTGTACCGATTAATGGTCGGGGTTGACAATCCCAATTATTTAGAAACGAGATTAAAAAACCGACCCATTTTGTGGCCTCGCTACTGACGTGACCCTGAATGGGCGGTTTGTGTAAATAAAATAGGGTTGAGTCTGTTTTTTTAATAAAAACTTTAAATGTGTTTATTTTGAAAAATTGTTCAATCCCAAAACCGTCGGCGTCCTCATCGTCACTCCCGACGATCTTCGACGATGGACGAAGACAAGGACCAAGTCCCCTCCTCCTCCTCCTCCTCCATCTCCCTCCCCTCAAACCCTAACCCTAACCCTAAAACCCCCAAACCCCCACCAAAACGCTTCATCAAATCCCAAATCCCCACCTCCCTCCTCCAAAACCCCAGCCTCAACTCCGCCATCTCCCTCCTCCCCTCCAACTACTCCTTCGAGATCCACAAAACCCTCCACCGCATCGACTCCTCGTCCTCGTCCCTGATCGCCCTCCAGTTCCCCGACGGCCTCCTCATGTACTCCCTCCCCATCGCCGACATCATCCGCTCCTTCTCCTCCTCCTCCGCCGACGTCGTCCGTCCTCGCCGGAAGCCCAACTACGGCTGCTGCTGCGTCGACCGACTACGCCGCCCGCCGCCCTCGGCTGCGACCTCCTCGTTCCACTACGGCCACTCGTCGTCTCGTCCCGTAACCTCCTCAAAGATCCCGACTTTGTACGTTTTCGTCGAAATCAAAATCGACCCGGATCGGTTAATCGAATCGATCGAGTCCAATTTCCCCAAATCGAGCTCGCTGGCGATTGCGGGGACCGTTCAGTTCATCGCCGCAGTTCACGCGGCGAAGTCTGTTTTGAGTGAGGAAGGCTATGACGTTACTGTACCCCAGGCGAAGCCGCTCTCGGCTGGCGAGGTGCTCGGATGCACGGCTCCGACGATACCGAAGAGTAAAGGGGTTGACGCTTTGATATTCGTGGCGGACGGAAGATTCCATCTTGAAGCCTTCATGATTGCGAACCCTGGAGTTCCGGCTTTTCGGTATGACCCGTTTCTGGGTGTGTTGGTCTTGGAGGAGTATGATCACAAGGGGATGAAGAGGGTGAGGAAAGATGCGATTTTTAGGGCGAGGGAGGCGAAGAATTGGGGGGTTATATTGGGGACACTGGGGAGGCAAGGGAGCACTAGGGTTTTAGACAGGGTTTTGGGGTTGATGGATGATAAGGGATTGGATTATACGGTGGTTTTGATGTCGGAGATTTCTCCGGCGAGGGTGGAGCTGTTTGAGGATTCGGTGGATGCTTGGGTTCAGATTGCTTGCCCCAGGCTTTCGATTGATTGGGGCGAGGGGTTCAAGAGACCGTTGTTGACGACATTTGAGTTTGAGATCGCGATGGGGTTCGTTAAGGGTTGGTGGGAGAGGGAGAAGAGTTCAGGGGGTTGCGGTTCTTGTAGTTGTAATGGTTGCGGTTCTTGTGATGGTGGTGATATTGGAGGGGAGTATCCAATGGATTATTATGCTCAGGATGGAGGCGATTGGAATGGATCTTATGTGAAGAAGAAGGTGACTTCTAATGGAGTGAAGCTTCATAGTATTAGAGGTAAGTTTACAAGTGGAATGTTGTTTCAAGTGATGTTATATGTTTGACTTACCGATAAATTTGAATTCTATTTGCTATCTTGCTTTTAACTTGGATTGTTGATAACAAGTAGTTAGCTCATGAAACAATGAAATGACTCTTTACTCTTGAACTGATTGAAACCTTATACTTAGGTACTAAAATATTGGAAAAATGATTGTATAGTTAGTTTAGAGCAACTTTGGCACTGACAACTGGGCTTCACTAAATGGAATTTATCCTTTTTACGTGCAGTTTAGTTTATGGAAATGCTCATTCTGCAACTATATTCATACTGAGGTATTAGTGATACTAATGCAATAAACCTGAATTTCAACTTGGTTGAAATATCGAGTATATTAGCAGATTCTGTTTGTACTTGGTACAATGGTTAGTTCATTGCTCTTTGGCAAGTTCATTTAAAGCGCCAATTAGTATTTAGTGCGAACAACCTATTTTTGCAAGTTTTGATTCAAAGTGTCGAGTTAGTTCGCTACTTCTTGTCAAGTTTCATAGGGTGAAATTATAATACTCGTTTTCAGGAAATTTTGCTTGAAGGTATTAAAAAAATGAGCTTTTATGTTTAAATTCTGAGTTAAAAAGAAACTGTAGGGGATGGTACTGGACATTTTCGTAACAAGATTATCAGCATTGCATCAATGTGTAGTCAATTTACTAGTAGGAGTATGATAGCTAGAGAAATTTTAGGTATTGCAATGGTGGTTAGAGAGAGAACTTGGCAGAATGTGATGGAAAACCAACCATTTTTTAACAATTGGGAAGTCCCCTGCAGTGATATTGTGCACAAAACATGTCCATAAACGTTTAACTGAAAATTCCTCAAAACAGAGAACAGAATTGACAAAAATGAAAGCAGAATCCATTGTAAGCAGATTTAAATTTTTTCCATTGCTCATTCTGTGTTCAGCAACTTGTGTCTTTCCTTATAAACATTATATACATCCCACCATGAAGATAGGGCAGTTAAACTCGGCCTGCATTTTGTAATTTACTAAGTCTCTAATTTTGATCTTTACAAAAGCATTTCATAATTGTCCTTCGCATTTAAATCTGAAAGATACATTTAACTGAGAACATGTATGCGCTGGTGAGGTGGAGCGTTATGAATTGTAGTCAGTGAACAAATATAATTAGTTATTAAACCTCATGGAACACGGAGTGAGTATGATAGCTGTTATTTTGACAGAAGTGAGGGACCTAAAGAGAGCTGAAGGGGGAAAACAGACTAGTATAGACACTCCCAAAGATTTGGTACAAAACTTTATTGCATTTGGTTACAAAGAGAATAATCATATATCTTAATGTAGTCAATTCGATATATTGCTGTAATTGGAGTGCCCCCTGCAGATAATATGCCAGACTACATTCTACTGGATAGCAATTAAACTCTTCAACGTACCTTCTTGAATTACATCTGTTCTTTTGATTATATGTTTTATCAGTGAACAGTAGATGCACATTATCTATAGGAAGAGATTGTTGCAAAAAAACTTCTAACCGAGTCCAAGTGTAATATCAGTAATCTGGTTCTTCTGGAGTTTCCTACTCGGTATTTTAGTGGAATAGCAACAGAGCATCTTCCTTGACTTCACAATGTGGGAATATATTGGATTGGGATCCTCCACTCATCAACAGTGGCTCCTAATATTTGCTAATGCGTCTCCACCTTTCATTTTGTGCTTATCCACAAAATGAAAGGTGGAGATGCATTAGCAAATGTTAGGAGCCACTATTGATGAGTAGAGGATCCCAATCCGAGTATGAAATGCTCATGTATCTTCCAGCTTGCTCAGGTTCATATTTACTTACTAAAAATGTTGGTCTACTGCTGACTAATATACTTGTCAGGATATAGTTTTTCTTATGAAATCGAATTCAGGTATTTTATACCTTGCTCATTTTGTATCTCTCATCTTTGGCCAGGAGGGAGAGATGTGCAGAGAGAAGTGATATCATGAAAAAGATGGAGGGAGTTCCAGTTAGCTTCCTTTTCCCGCTAATTTTTGACCTGATTTTCATTTCTCTTCAAGTTTCTATATGTCATGATCAAAGATCCTGGGAGGGATATCTATAGAAGACATTCGAAAAGTTTGATTTGTGTTTAAGATGGATACAATGCATGTATCCTGGTTCTTATCAATGTCCGGAACGTAATTTATCTAGCAACTATTCTGAGAAACACCCACCATGTAATTTATTATTATTGCTAATTTCTAAAGTTGTTAATTTTCGTTGATTTTGCTCCCTGGCTGCCTGAAAATGTGTTGATGATGTATAAAATATGTCTCAAATCCTTGTGAATCTTATGATTTTGGTGGGACACGGCATTTATAGAGTGATGTGTCCAAATTCTGTTCATTTTAGTTGCAGAGAAGAACCTCGAAGAAATTCTACTTGGTAGGGAATCCATTGCTTTGTTACGTAGGACTCGTTGGTCAGGTACAGCGATAATAAAGCTCATTCTTCAAATCTAGTCAACAATTTACAAGCTCAGAAATAGAATTTTTTTTTCATTCTATAATAAGCGCAAGTCTCTATTTTCTCTAGTCTGGCAAACATTTCCACAGCAAACAACTATTTTTGGATTAATTAATTGGAGAAGGAACATATAATAATTAATAATTTCCTCCCGACACCATGTGAGAACAGCAGTATAAAACTGTTAAAAACAAAGGATAAAAAATGTAAGAGAAAAGAACCACGAAGTATAAGAAGAAAAATCGTAGATCAAAGGAGCGGACTAAGAGGAATGCTTTCAATCAATTAATGACGGAGGCTAGGTAATGATACATTATCGATATTAATCAAGAACACAAAGTCCTGAAAAAACAGGTGCTATTTATATACAACATTCTTTTGCATGCACTTCATGTGTATATATACAAAAGATATTTGAGAAGAGGATTCAGAATTTCCCATTAAAGAACAGGCCCTTATTAACCAATGCAGTAAATACTAGTGCTCGCCGTCCTCTCTCCCTGAAGAAAGTTGTCTTGCAAGCAACAGAAGCCCAACAGAAGTCAATGCCGATAATATGGTAGAGGAGAAACCAATAACAATCAGAGTTCCTCTTAGTGACTTCACAGAAAAACATTACAGAAACAATTAACATGAGAATTAACCTCAATTCAGTTGACAATGATTCAGACGTTCAGGGTAACATTTTACTCACCTTGGCAAGCTGCAAGGCATTGTCATTTGCATACTGTAATGAATTTTCTGGTATGCTTTGGATGCTTTGACTAAGCTCCCAAGATACAAATCTAGGTTCAAAATGAACAGTCAGTTGAGATAAGTGAAATCAACAGCAGAAAAGCTTCACTTTTGCGTCATTGAAATTTACCCAAAAACCACACCAATTGCAGCTCCAATATAGGCCTTTTCTCGAGTCAACTCGACTTGTAGGTCTCCAAACTAGAAATTAGAGGCTCATCAATTACTAAGCCTCACATTTCATATATGATATCATAATTTATAATTGAGTAGTAAAGACCCAATACCTTAAGTATTCTGGTTTCCTCCTTTGGCTCCTTATCCGTTGTGATTGCTGGGCTTCTAGATAGCACTTTCCCAGTCTTGATCATTGATTTGGCAATCTACAAGTAGTTCAGTTTCTGCGATAAATGCATCGCCATGTAGGAAGAAATTGATATTTGAATTATTTAGGCATAGAGTTCTCTCACTTCACTTTAGCAATCTACAGGTAGCTATGTTTCTGCCTACAAAATGCATCCCACATAGGAAAAGTTTTGACTTTCAATTATTTAGGCATACAGTTCTTTCAATTTGCTAACAAAATGACCTACATTGTTTCCAATCACCAAAAGATGAAATACCCTTCCAATGTGAACTATCAGAAGGGGAAAAAACAAAGTGCCACTGTAAGTCTAGATTATAAATTATCTTAAGAGTTTTCAACCTTCACTTTCAAGAGGATAATAAGTATCAAGATTACTTTCATGAGGATAATTAAGTATCACGATTACAAATTATCTGATTGCTAGCTTCGTCAAAGGTGTAGAACTAGTGTTCTATATTTATACATAGTAATTAAAAAATGCACGAATTGAAATAAATATGATTCCACCTTTAGCTCAGAAAGATCTATGGTGCCTGTCTCCCAGATAAAGTTGTAAAAGTTTGATAATAACATACTGATCCCTAACTTTAAAGCTTAAGAAATTACTCATAGAGATGAGTACCAATGTTCTCAAATTGTGATGAAGGTTGAGGGTTACAACTTTCCATTGTATAATCTAACATGTCTTATTCGCAAATTGAGCGCACCTATGCATGGGCTAAAATTGGGACTATTTTACGCCTTGGTACATTTTTTTGAATCTGTTTTACATGCGTAGGACAGAATTTGAACCTGGGTTTTCCATCTTAAAGTTCTTCCATTGCACCAAACCTTTAAGAGTTGTTATGAGGGTGGAAGTTAGTTTTACACTAACAAATATTCTTTAAAGCAAGATAGATAAATCTATTTAGTTTCCCACTGCATGTGTATGTGATCTAGGTATCCATAGAATTTTGGTCACACCTTAACAAGGGTTTCTTTGTAAGATTCGGTGGCTTGCATTTTCATATTTAATATTGATATGCTACTGTATACCAGCAAGAAGGAAACTAGAAGAGTAAATACACCATAAGATAATATTCATGAATTGACAATAAAAGTTTCTTTAAAAAACTGTGCCTTTTCTAGTTCTCCTTCACCATACTGTCCCATGGATTGAAATCTTCTCCCAGCAGATATCAAGCGCCTGCCAAATGCTAAAACCAGTAGAAGAAAGATAAAAAGACCAAAAATGATGATTCAGTGCACATAATATAAATAATTCACAACAGAAGTAATCTCACTCTTGCCTGATTTTATATCATCTCTCAAAGATCTATGCAAAGACGGAAGCTGGCATGTAATACTATTCGAAGTCGATGTGTCAGCCTTCTCCCATGCTCGAGATAAGTTTAATAGCATTTCCCCCAACTCTCGGCCACACTACATAACGTATACTTAACAAGTATAAATATCAAGACTGAGAAGAATTCTCTTGAACAAACATCCTCCACCTTAATACGCATGCAACTGAATGATCTACAAAAATAAATTTAAATCTTTACTGGATACAATCTATGCTTGACACAGTGCATAGAAAAGCTTTACACTGTCATATCAGATTTATTTTCTTAAGTGCACTCGTACTAAAAATTCTAATCTTCCAATCTTTAGGCACCATTTGGTTGGACCTGGGACTGGGACAGGAATTTAAAGTCCTAGGTCTTGAATCTAATCCCCTGTTTGGTAGTACGTAAGTCTAGGATTTAGGTGGGGCTAGAACTTTGGTTAAAAATCCAAAATGGGGTGAATCATATCCTTTGATCCCCTAGTATTAGCGATATCGAGATTAGGTCGTCTCTGCCACCTCTCAAAAATCCCGATCGCGATCGCTCGGCTCCCAACAATCATGATCTCTTTTGAGTCATCTCCAATCTTCTCTTCCCTCAAGCTCCACCTCCAATCTCCTCTCGAGCTCCATCTTTGATCTCCTCTCCCCTCGATCTCGAGCTCCACCTTTGATCTCCTCTCTCCTCGAGGTCTGCCTTCGATCTCCTCTCCTCTCGATCTTGAGCTCCACCTTCGACCTTCTCTCCCCCCAAGCTCTGGCTTAAATCTCCTCTCCCCTTGAGCTCGAGCTCCATCTTTGATCTTCTCTCCTCTGGAGCTGTCTTTGATCTTCTCTCCTCTGGAGCTGTCTTTGATCTCCTCTCCTGCAAGCTCCGCCAAACTCCAATCTCCACTCCTTGGATCTCCACCACGCCCAAGTCTTCAATCATTGGCTCCCAAATTTCAGCTTAGGAGAAGGTAACTTTGGGTTTTTTTAATTTACTATTTTTTCATTATTTTAATTTAGTTTCTGGGGTTTTAGCTTTTCGAAGTGATATTAGCTTGATTGGATTTGAATTTATAGCACTCATCTCATTAAAGGAGCAAACTTGCAAAGTTTATAAATTGTCCTAATTAATTTTGACTTTGTATTGAATTTATCTCAAAGTTAGGAGGAGTTTGCAGATCCTTCATTATTTATGAGAAGATACATGCATACACATGATTATTAATTTGACTCAATTGAGTTTTCTAAGTGTATTACATATGATTTGCATGAGCATTGATACAATAGGAAAGTTAAATGTATAACTTTTGACCTTCATGGTTTTACTATTGTTTGTCATTATCTTTCTCCTAATTTTCTTGTTTATTAGATATTAGCTTAACTCATCTTCTTTCTGTTATCCATGAATATTTCCCGATGATTTGCTTTATAAGTTTATCCTGAATCTACTAATTTTTATATCTCAGTGCAGCTTCATGTTCTGGGTGTTCGAGATTTTAACTGTTAAATCATCAAAGAGGTATCTTTCCTCCAAAGTTTTGATTTTTTAATATCTTCATGGCATGCTAAGTTTGACTATTGAATTTGCTCATTTTGGCTATTGACTTGCTAGTTTATTTGGTCGTATTTATTACTGTGATCATATGGCTTCTA